GTAACACTGTGATTAGAGACTAATTATAAAACTACAAGCAAAGGATAATTAAGAAATCTATTTCCACAGACGTGAGGATAGTATTAAACAGAGAAAGTATGCCCAAACAAAACGCAGCCTAAGCAATTACGTGCACGTTAGATTATGAGTGAATCAATTTCGCAGACTGTTGATAATTTTCAAGCAGTTTGGCAAAAGTGTTGTTTCGTGGTGGTACTTACTGATTTTAGAAGGCTGGGTTTTGCTGTAAGCAAAACCAGCAGAGCCAGAGATCCTCCAGGTATCACAGGCGAGCGTCTGACCATTCATCTGCTGCCATCGTGCCCCAGCCTCACTCTTACGGTCGTACCCAGCGCTGCTTGGGTGCTCTGATTCATTTAGTTTTGCCATGAAGAAATAACCTTAGGCATCAGCCTGCTTCTCTTCTTGTCTGACTGGATTACCACTGAGGAACCTGACCATGAATGTATTGCACTGCGAAGCGACAAAACAAGTTACAAACACACCCACAGAACTGCCAGATTGCCGCCTTCGACGGGACTCCACGCAGATGAATCACACCGGCGTGGTCTGTAACTTTCCTCCTGGTGGAGGAGGCATCTGCTGTATGTAACCGGTCTTTAAAGTCTTGAAGACAAAAAAAAAAATATCATCAAAATCTGGTCAAGCTAATGCATTACCCTTCATAAATCAAGGATGACACTACTAACAGTATGTTGTGTGGCTAAAAGCTCAGTGAGTGAATAATAATCTTTAGGAGCTGCACCCATCCCAAGGGGCGAGAGTTATCTGCTGGACCTTGTGCCACGGTCACTGTTGACTCTCTTAATACCGCCTCATCTGCAACAGCCAGATTTCCAACAGCTGGTGATTTACAACAAGTAATTTATTGTAACAGAAGAGCAATTCCTAACAATCTATCTACTCACAGAGCGGCTTTGGAAGAATCACAGAATTGTTGAGGCTGAAAAAGACCTCTGAGATCACCAAGTCCAGTCCATGACCCAACAAAATTGCAACAGCTAGATCATGGCACTAAGTGTCATATCCAGCCTTTCCTTACACACCTCCAGGGAGGGTGACTCTACCACTATTCCTTTTTAAAGAAAGGGGGAAAAAAACCCCCAAGCAATGGCAGACTGCATTGTTGTAAGAGCACTAGTCGCTAATTTTTCCCAGAGCCCTGCAAGGTATTTGTCATGAGCTTATAGGGTTTCCTGATACAATGTTGTTTTGTCAACTACCAGAACTTCAGGCAGACCCGAGGTAGGTCTCGTTTACTGTTCTGATATAGCCAGTCTTGCATCTCCCATTGGTATCAAGCAAGAACTGAGCCAAGCACAACTAGACACAGCCCACACAACCCACCTGGAAAGGTTGAATGACCCACACTTGATAAAGCACTAGGTAGAGATGAATTAAAAGGTGGCAACTTTTTAAGTCCTAAAACCAGATTATGTCAAGGTATGGACACTGGCTTAAAAAAAGTTTCTTCTCCTAGTCACCTGGAATTGTACTTCTACATGGTCCCCAAACCTTTGCTACGATGGCACAGCTGAATACCCTGTGATGCTCAAATACCTCCTCAACCTAAGCAACAGCCCTCGGAAGGACAGAAAGGCTGACACATGTCCATGCCGAGGCACACGCTTCTCCCAGAAGGAAGAGGTGTGAATCTGTGCTCCCAGGGGCTTAGAAAGATATTCAGACCAGGAATTCCAACAAGCAAGGAGGGTTCTCCAGACCCTGAGCCCAAGAGCATCAGTCTCACACTTTACCAGCTGGTTGAGGCTGTTTGCATTCTTCAGGCTGGGAGGAACATGCCCAGGCACCCAAAAAGGGAGTGGTTTGTCTTTTCAGCTCTTGCAAAATCCAATTACCCAAGATACAGGACCAGCTGCTTTGCTAGGGCTCACAGAAAGCAAATAGCCAGCAGCCAGGAACATCTCCGAGAACTTTAACAGCAGCCAAAAAGTAAGGCAGCTGTGAAAACCTGTTTTTACTATTTCCTTTGGAAATTGAGGGATTTCTGCTAATTTATGACTTTAATTAATGCAAGGTGTTTATTTAACAGATACTTTGCTACACAACTCAGAGTCAAACCTTGCCATACGTTACAGGTTTTCATCAGAAACTTCACTCCTTGACACAACAGTTTTCATTAATGCTATCTTCATGGTGAATATTTAAATAATTTTATTTTTTTAACTATCCAGACCTGTAATTTAAACTGTACCTTGTACACAAACAAAAGCTTTTTAGAGAGTGCTATGAAGACTGAATAAAACCCTTGTCATTCAAAATACCCTTCCGTAGTTCTGTTCTTCATTTGCCTTTTCCCTTATCTATATGCCCTTTTTAAACATGCCAGACTCTCAGTCTTCAGTTCTTCACTGCTTGTTTAAGAAGTGATTCAAATACACATTCATTCCTGTTACTGAGTGGCAATAAGAATCTTAAAAAAGACTCGATGCGCAGCAAGGTCAGTTCAATGTGGACCCACAGGAAAAAAAGAAAAAAAGGAATAAAGAGATACTGAGAAGTCAAGATTCCCAGTTACACTTGCAAAGAAAACCATCAAGTTTTCCAGCATTTTGGATCCTAAGACAGTGAGGAACCAGAGCATCCTAGCAAGTAAAACAGACCTGAAAAGGTGACTATATAAATAATAAGACACTTTACTCCCACCCCCCAAAATTCCTCCCGCAAAGCATTTTTATGGCATTGGAAACATGCCTGAACAAAACTGAGCACACGTTTCAAGAGGTTTTTAAACTTCCTTTATTTGCTGAGTTTGGATAGCATGCGTCATTTTACAGCACCAGTAAACAAGTCAGTGAGGCAACTGCTTTAGGGACTCACACTGCGGAATGTCTTCAAAACCGTTACCCTCTCCCCCTCCACTCTGGGACAGAACAGTAGCCGAAGACAAGACAGACATACATCAGGGCAACTTCCTTATGGCTAAAAATACACATAGCAGCGACTTTTAAAGGAGGGTTTTATTTAAATCAAGTCATTGCACTTGGGTCATTTATTGCTATAGCGAACAAAGGCCATTAAATAACAAAACACCTTTCACTTGTGGTTTTGACTGATTGTCTTGTTCTGTTTGTCTGCTACAAGCTGACATGCAGACGCAATTTCTGTAGAGCTTGGATAACAAAATTGGCTGTTCCATTAGGCTCAAGTCTTGTTTTTCATCACCCAACTCAGAGGTACGAATTCTAAGAGTTTAGTGTCCAACAAAAAGCATTACTGCTGCACATTGTTCCCCAGTATAAAGATCTGGTTCAAGTCTTCACTTGCGATCCATCTAGGCAATTAAAAGTTAAAAGGATTAATCCTGAATCAGCTTATTAGCAAAGTGACTAGCAAATATTAGCTAACACCTGCACAGCATGTTAATCAAAGTTTATTACCAACTTAAATCAGCAACTGACAAACACCCTCCAGTTGACATTTTGGTGTTTGTATTTTATGATGCATCAACTGTGGGAAAAATAAGGTTTCAAAAAGTAACACTTCCATGTCACTTGCTCAAGTGGCATACTAAACAATTACTAGATTTATGACTATTCCCATGAATAGAAACTTAATTACTTCTTTTACTGGTTAATTACTTCTTTTACTGGTTAAATTGCCAAACTATGTAGAATGTTTCTTCATTTAAATTCTAGTAGACCTGAAGGAGATAAGGTGACTACTAATGAAAAATTCATTTGACTGGCTTTCCAAAGCTGTATGCTTTTTAATTCCTTAATCAGACGAACACAGCAATAAATATCACAGTCTCCCTTCACTCTGCATATTATTTAAATATTATTCTGGTGCACTGTGTTGAGCTCAGGGGTTAAAGATAACGACCATCCACAAGATTTCAATTGTTTTCCATAAAATGTGAAAGACTCCATCCTGAATACCAACACACCGCTGTCAAACCAATTCTTCCACTCATTAAAATAGGAAGATATTATTAAATTTAGAGTTATGCAATGTAGTGAGAAAGTTTATGGCATAAATATATAAATATTGAGACTTTTTGACAGTATCAAAGCTCCAAAGGGATTTATTTGGAGGCATTTTAAACACAAAACCTGACTATTGTAAAAAACACATCAAGATGCAGATTTAACCATCAGAAAGACTGATGACTTCAGTTTAGCTACACAGAAGCACATACGTTGTGACTTAAGGTTTACTTTTTCATGCTGTGATACTTTAGGCACAACAGGTTGAGTTAAGACTGGATTCTGGCCTTTTATCCATATTTCTTGCATTTTGTGGTTTTAAAAGTTAATTTTGTCATAACCTTACAATCCAGTCCTAAATCCCTTTTTTATCCAACAGTGCAAGTGACAAAACGTTCTGCTACACTACTCAGATTAGACCACTCTTTCTTACTACAATGCATAGGAGTTTCACTTGCTTCATTGCATTAACGAACTTATAAACAGCATATTTTTAATATTCTCACCGCAGACAGGCACAACTTCATAACTCTGGGTAAGACTGCCAAAATTATACAAATATCATATATTCCCTTTTGCATGTAGGGGAAAAGTAGTGACTACAATTATGATACAGTTATTCCATCCCTCCCAATAGACTATTTTACAGATTAGTTGTAAAGATAGATCATCCTATTTATAGCATAGATCTCTTTAAAAATTAAGCTACAAGTATTTAATAAAAATCTATTAAGAATTCCCTCTCCTTTCTATACAGATTCAGTAGTATTTTCACGCAAACCAAAAAATAAGGTCTGCAATTCCAGCACAGTAAGAAATAAGGCCTCTTTCATATTGGCAAAAAAATTACACCACTATTCTTTTTTTGTTTTCTTATCTCTCTGAATAGAAGATTATATTCCTTTTTTAATTTTATTTTTTCTTTAAGCCTGAAGAACACCAGCATCCATTATTATGAAATAAGAGTCAGTTCTCCTGTGTTCAGCTTTGAATTCCTGGCGATTTAAAAACACTGAGTCCATAGCTGTCTCATGTAGACATCACTGCCTTCTTCAATTTTTCTATTTCAAGCTGTAAAAAGAGCATTTTGAAAAGAGAGTCAGTATTAAAATACCAATAATCTAAAGTCTTCAGAGCTTTCACCACAACAATAACCTTTACATTCCAATGACACTTAAGTAAACAAATAAATAACACAGAAGCATTTAACAGTTCAATATTTACAGCTGATTTTATGCTACTATGCAGCTAAACAAACAAGAATTTAAAATCATTGAAAATTTGGTTATAGTTCTGTTACATCCTATTGGAGAAACTCACTTTGAAAAAAGCAAAGCTGCGCCATGGAATCATTTCACACATCCCCATGTAACGTGGCATCATCACCTCACACCAAGTTCCTAGAGAAGCCTTCATGCAAACTACCATGCCAAGATTAATTTGTATTTCTTCAAACTGACTGAAGAGGATACATGGAAGTTACCTCCTCTCCATCCCCAGTGCCTATTTAAAGCATCTTCATTGATTGCTTTTGAAATGCATTAAGAAATGGACTCACCAGAAGCTCTTCTCAAGTTTAGAAAGCGGCTTTGTAGTCAATGAGAACACAATTTCACAACTAAAATGCCCTTTGGTACTAGACTGAAATGATTTTCTACAATAAGCTCATCCTATTAACCACTTAAAGGCATCACATTGAAATGGAGATAGCTTGCTTCATCAATAGACTCAGGATTGGCGTTCACTCTTAAGGAAACTTTTCAGATGCATTCTGCTCTTTTGGTAAATTATCCCCTGAATATTTTAATAGTTCGTCAACAATTTAGGAAGGTTTACTTCTGCCATGTTTTTCTTGTGATTACATAAAGTACATTTGTCCTTCAATATCACGAAAGCAAAGCACACATCTTCTGTCCTGGGATTCTGTCTTGGAGCCCTCAGCACAAGGACATGGACCTGCAGGTCCAGAGGAGGCCACAAAGATGATGAGAGGGCTGGAGCACCTCTGCTGTGAGGACAGGCTGAGAGAGTTGGGGTTGTTCAGCCTGAAGAAGAGAAGGCTCTGGGGAGACCTTGTAAGCGGCCTTCCAGTACCTGAAGGGGTTACAGGAAAGCTGAGGAGGGGCTGTTTACAAGGGTGTGTAGTGACAGGACAACGGGCAATGGTTTTAATCAAGAGTGGGGTAGATTTACCTTAGACGTTAGGAAGAAGTTCTTTACTATGAGGGTGGTGGCACAGGTTGCCCAGGGAGGTGGTGGAGGCTCCAACCTTGCAGACATTCAAGGTCAGGCTGGATGGGGCTCTGAGCAACCTCATCTAGTTCAAGATGTCCCTGCCCACTGCAGGGAGGGTAGACTAGATGACCTTTAAAGGTCCCTTCCAATCCAAGGCATTCCAACAGGTCCAGCTGGACGTATTTCTGGCAAGCAGTGACACTTGCATCCCAACACCCACACGTGTTGTTCAAAACACTTTTCCAGATAAGAAAAACTGAAATAAGACCAACTGTGAATGTTCTATATAGATCCAACTGCCTCGTGAGGCATTCACTCAACCACACAAAGAGCAATTAAAAATAAAAAGGTTAAGCAGGTTCGTTAAGACTTTCCTGTGGTATTCAATTGCAGAATGCTGCCCACATACTTCCCAACTTCCCTTCCCCTCAAATTGTTAACATTACCTCCAAATCACTTCGCAGCAGCCTCTCTTCTTCCAAATCCTTCTTTATTTTTTCCAGTTCTCTCCTAGTAGTGGTTAAGATATTAGAAATACAAGTTAGAAGGGAAAAAAAAAAAAATCTCACATTACTAAGAATAGGAAGCACAGGCTTTTTTAAATTTTACAAGAGGAATTCACTGAACAGCTGTCTGATGCTACATCCTATAAATACATATATGGTCATGCCCCCTAGCGAACTGATACTCAAATCTGGTGGACCACAAGCTCCTACCAACTCTCAATGCTTCTTACCTATCACTGTACACTTATCCCTAATTTATAATCACGATTTTAAATAGGCTACTTAAAAAAATTGTACTGTCATTTTACTTGGAGAGTTGAATTTAAACCAAAATAACCTGGCAACTTCTACGCAGAGAACATAAATTCTTCAGAATAGAAAGTGACTAAACCGTGTTGTATTTCATAACCATGTTCAGGTAGGACAGTGTTGGGAATTATCACCAAGTTGCTGAAGAGTTAGTTCATTAATTTCCAGAACTCAGGTTTTACTAGTTTGCTTAGGAGACCAACTGATCCTGATGCTTTATAACTTCTCAAGGGGTCACTCTAAAAGCTGATGTGGTTAGCACTAGTCAGAATTTAATTAGTATCACAATGAAACTGTGCTGTAAAACTAAAACCAGAAAAGGCAAATTTCCTGCAGATTGACCTCTGCTATGTTTATTCAAGTACCAATTACATGGTTTTTTCTACGTCATTCTCCAAACACAACCCTACCCACATGCACAGAGATGATGGGGCCAGGACGATCATGAATTTTAAAATCTCAATAACATAATTTCCTACTACCAGTCGTGTCAATACTTCAATGACTTGTGTGAAGTGTTACACAAGGCTAGCACTTGTACTTATGTTAAATACCACAAAAAGTATCTCCTTCTTGCAGTGAAAGCATTGTTTTAAGAAATATTTTCAAAAAGTTGTAATAAATGCAGGAACACAAAATAGGAAAGAAAAAGCATGTACAAATTACAGAAGTACTCTGACATTAAATTTGTAGATATTTAGGACATCTAGTTGGACCAACTTCTAAAGAAAGAAGTTCTGAATTACCATTAATTTTTAAGAAGTTTGTCATTAAAGACATTTGGAAAAGGTCTATATAGCCCTTTCCAGATTGAGAAGACAGTTATTTACCCATGCTCTTTCCTCAGTGCGTCTACTAAACCCAGCAAATCATTAATCTGAGTCCTGAGCTCTTCCACAGAAATTTTTTCGTCATCCGTTTCTCCTTTAAGTTGGATGTCTCCAGGAAAAAAGTTGAGTATAACAGAACTTGGTCTCTGAGATGAAGATGGAATCGGAGGACTAAATGTAGATGGCTGAAAAAAACAGATCAGTAGAAAGGTAAGAAATGACATCTTTATGAACTGACCAGTTAGAGCACACAGGTTGTACTGGGATGGCAGTTACATGTGCACAAGTTTCTGTAATTTTCTACCCAAAAGCTAAAAACCAACTTCAAGTTCAAATGAACTACTGTAGTCCACAAGACAGTTATTTCATACAGCTCTATTAAGCATTTCCCCAAGGTTCTTGTAGTCGCTAAACAGTAATCACACTGCAGCTCTCTACACTTTTCAGAAAAACTGTGATTTAACGGTTCATTATAAACAATCTTTCAGACCTAATCAGTTGTTCTGCTGGGAGATTAAAGGCTGAGCAGACATAAAGCTTCTTTGGGAAACACCACCATAGTTTCATGCTACCTGGTACAATAGTTGCCACCAGAACTCAAGCACTTGCTACTAAAGAATAAACAAACTTTATACTAACATTTTTAAAATGAACTTTATACTAAATGACACAGCTCACTTGCATCTAAATATAATCATTTGCATTTAGATGGCTGCATCATTCTAAGCTGGAAATACAAGCAAGATGAAAAGAACACTTTGCTGCTTGGTATTTCTCTAGCTCCTTGGTATCATACCTTTTTTGTTTCAATTGGCTTTGGTTTGGCACTTTCCTCTTCTTTCTGCACCTTCAAAGTTTTTTCTGGAGTCACATTTTGACTTGCCTGGTAAATCATTCATAAAAAATGAAAAAGTTTTCAGAATAAAAAGAACTAATTAAAAAAGTGAATTAAAAAAGAACTGTCATAAGTTTCTAAAGACGTAACAGCAAAAGAAAAAGAAACCTAAAAGGAAACCAACCAAACGTAGATTGCTAGACTACTATTGTTTTCTTTCTCTGCCAGTCAGAACTCTCGTTCCCTGTAACACTCAATTCATGAGTTAAATCACACAAAGCAATGTTGGGCAGGATTTCCAAGCATGTCTGTAGTACTCAAGTCCTTGATGCTTTTGAGAGCCTGTAGGTGCTTCCATAAACCACAAACAGGGAGTAACTGTAGATGGTAACTGCTGTAATGCAACTATGCAACATCCAATGACGTAAACTGATTTCAAGGACTCTGCACCACCCCGGTTCTCATGGTCTGATTATCTCATGTCACAGCATGACATCATAAATCCTATATTAAAACAACACTAAATTACAAAATTGGTGTGGCCAAAGACTATATGTTGTTAGGACTGTAAGGAACTGGAACTGCTTTGAGTTGTGCGTATGCACGGTAGCTACTTCATCATCAGTGATGCTACAAGAGCCGAGTACTTACTGCAGCAATACGCCACGGAACAGAACTGAAAGACTCCTTCAGCTGCAACGCAGTCGTGTTGCTTCTCTTATGTACATTTTCCCCTTGGGAATAGATATTCCCGTACACAAAGTCTATAGGAACGGAACCCCTGCGGCATTCTGCATTTTGCTCCTGGGTATATGGTTCATGCGACTGTTCCCCGGTGCAATCCCGTCTCCTGGCACGTTAGTTCTTAGTTTGCTAGTAGGAAAACACACCCAGTATACTCACAGAACTACTGCAATTGAAACGTGAAGGCGGCCTCCTACCAGGCATCTTGGGTCGGTTCGCAGTAGGGTGTGACAGATTATCTGAGGTAGCTATTACATCATCAAAGCTTAACAGATCTAGGCAAAAGATGAAAATACAGACAACCATCAAGACCAGAAAGTTTTGCTGCGTTCTTTTTCTATTACTTTTTTCCCTAAGACAAAAAAAAATTGTCATAATTCTTATTGCTTCAAAGATTTTTCAGCATATACACACACGTGTAACAAATACATGACTTCGACATATGTGGAAAACCACATTTTTCTCCTCTTGAAAAAAATTAAGAGATAATTCAAAGAGCATTTACATTCAAGTTCTCAATAGAAATGCTATAGTCACATGGCATGATAAACCAGACCTAAACACGTTTTTCCTGCGACACTTAAAACCGTTTTTCTGAGGGGTGCCCTATTCAGCTATTGACGAGAATGTGTTTTGTTGTTGCTGAACTTGCAGGAAAAGCATGAAAATCCATGTTTAGTGACTACGAGAAAAAAAAAAGCAACACAGTAAAGTACATGTCCTACACGTTGGTGAAAGTAAGTTAACTGCAAATATTTCAGCGCAGGGTAGGTTTTTCCACATAAAGGACTACAGAAAATACATTCATACCTTTTATAATAAAACATTTCAAAACTCCATTCTCACACTATATTAAATCATATAGATCTCTTTGCTCATTAGTGTCTTTACATTCGTAGCTCTAGGTAGACTGTCTCTTAAATCAGTAGAAATTATTTACGTCCTACAGGAAGAGGCGACTTAGGAAAAAAACTATTAATAGAAAGAACAAAATATATTTAATTACATAACCTAAGTACTTCACTCAGACTTCTTAACCAGTGGAGACAAAAATACTACTACTTACCTGCCAACAGGTGTGTAACGAGATAGGGCTTTTCTTATTTAAGCATTGACATAAGATTACAGACGTATCATTTTACAACACAAATTCATTAGACTTATTCTAGAGACTCTAAATATTTAATTAAATGCCACACTACTACGGACACCAGAAGTAACATTCAAGGTTTGGGGTTTTGGTGCCCTCTGATTTTTACACGACACCATGACCTATCAGAGAGAAGCTATGGTATTTCTTTCCTTATTTTCTCATTCATTTTGAAGCTGTAGCAAGGGATCAGTGAAGAAAAGAAGTCCTAAGAACACTGAGCCAGACCATTATGCCATTTCAGTGTTTGGATGACTTTAAAATCATCTGATTAATCCAAGTTCTACTCAGGAATTGCCAAAGTCAATTTATACGTGTAGGAACTAGGTTTTCCACTGAATGTCTTCTACTCTGTGTTACTATGCTTGAAGTCTTCTGGACATCCCTGAACATATCTACTTCATCATCTGTTGCCTTCTTGAAATGCAAGTATTTAGAGCACCATCTGTTACCAATCAGTCTTGCTGCTTTTTAATTTTAATAAATGCAATATAAAGACAGTCTTTTGTAAACATGTAATCATATTTGCAATTAAAAAAAATGGGGAAGAAAAATAAAGGAGGAAGAAACACAAGAGAGTGATGAATGGCAAGCAGCTGATGGAGAAGAGGATGAGGGAGAAATAAATAACTATGAAGGTATTTCTGTGGTGGTCTGTGCCAATAAAATATTTAACTTTTTAGAAGCCAAGCAATAGTGACCAAGGGGTGTATCTTCATGTTCTCATGCCAAAACGCAAATTCGGATTTGCGTTAGTTAGGTGCTATTAAAGAGATAACAAGAATGCAGGGGAAAAAAAGGAACATAGACCTTTTCCCTCACCTCAGTAATTTCTGCCTTTAAAGAACCCTCCTTTTGTCATTCTACATATATGACAAATTGTTTGGAAGTAAATTTAAATAACAAATTGTAAATTGAATTGCTATTAAGGTGGTAATGCGAGCCCTGACTCCATGAAGAAAGTAAACATCAAGCACATTAAGAATATGAAGAACATATTAGGAATAATGTGTACTTCTGAAAAAACCCCAAAATCTCACCAGATTTGACAAGGCTTGAAGATGAAGGCTGCTACAGTCTTGAATTACGTATGATTTAAATACAAATAGTGGGATGACACTGAAGCCAGGAGTTTATTTTCCCTCATTGCAAGAACTTCTAAAGGAAATTGCTACACCTGAGACAATTGCTCAGCATTAAAATATTACCAGGACGTTACAGTCAGAGGGAATTCTGACTTTATTTGCATTTTCCTTTTGTTGTTGCTTTGGTATAAGGAAGAAATTAAAACACAGGCTGGTGGGGATCAGGGTTTGTGGTTTTGGTGGTGGTGGTTTATTTTATTGTGGGTTTAGGGTTTTGGTTTGTTTTTCTTTTCAAACAGCATCCTTTAATTTAGAAGAAAGCTTGGCCCCATTGAAACAGAGATACAGATGAAGGCCACTGACAGTTACAGAATCATAGAATCATTGAATAGTTTTGGTTGGAAGAGACCTTGAAGATCCTCGAGTCCAACGTTAGTCCCATTCCTATCAACACCACTAAACCACGTCCTTCAACGAAACATCCACCTGTCTCTTAGACACCTCCAGGGACGGTGACTCAATCACCTCCCTGGGCAGCCTGTTCCAATGGCTGACAGCCCGTTCAGTAAAGAAATTCTTCCCAATATCCAACC